AGTTGCTCAGCTGGGACTACCTGTGTGGTCTTCAGGGTGTTTAACTGAGCAACCGGCTCTGAGCATTTTCTGGGCATAGGCTCTGCTAGCATACCCTTGTGGTGAATGTTAAGTGCGTGGAAACAGGTTTGTAGTAAAAACATTGATTCTCACAAAGGAATAGAATCCAGGTATTGACTTTTTCTCTCACCTTCCTGCTCATGTTCCCCTGCTCTTCCCCATGACTCCTGAATTCTGGGTGTGGAAGTTGGCTGTCCTTTGTTGAAGGCAAGCTTTGTATTTATTCATCTGAGGCATGAACACAGGGCTGTCCAACGAGGCTAACGAGCATCAGATTCCTGGCTGTTCTTACACAGACCTGCTGGGCAATCTGAGGGAAGCATAGTGCAGGCTCCGTATTTGCAGTCCCATTGCCACAAAGTGGGCACGGCTGCATCGCTACAGCTTCCCACTGCTGCTGTGTGCACAGATCACCCAAATCGTTTGTGTTGTGAGTGCGATCCTCTTATAGTGGAGATAAAACACAAAGAAAGTCTCGGATTCCCTGGCCTCTCACCTTGGCTCAATGTGAGTAAACCTCCGGCCGAATGTGAATTTCCTGTTTTCAGAGTGTCTTTAATTGAGAGCAGTGGTTTCTTTTTTTCCCTGAGCTAAACTGGCATCTGTACAAATAAAAATGTGCAAACTGTGGCCGCAGGCTTAGGAGAGTGCCAGTAAGAAGCACAGAGAGAAGCTGTGTTCCAAAGCCACACAGCCCAGCTATTCTTGTATTATGATCATTGTCCCTTTCCCTGGTCTTTCCTGGTTGCTGTGCCAGGACCAGTGGTTTTTCTAAGATGTCTTCATGGAGCCACAGCAGGGAGCACTCCCTTCCCCACCCTCCTTTCTTGGCACTGTTACAAGCTCTAAATCAAAGCACACAATGAAGCAGCCGTTCCTCCTTTCTCCTTTGGGTGGCAATTGGGTTTGCTCCTTCTCCTTGGTCTCTCGTCTGTACCTGGAGCTAAAAGTGCAACGCTGTTTCACTTTGTGCTTCTTGTGGGTGGACAGGTCATGCTCTTCAGCAGAAAGAAAGGCTTAAACACTTGAAACTAATCTTAGGCATAAGGCTGTGATATCTCCCACAACTTCTGTGCCAGAGTTGTAACTCTTTGTGCCTGGGGCTATGGCCTTCTGTTTTCTAGCAAATAGAACTACTGAGATGCTTGAGTCCCAGAATTGGGAGCGACTTGGAGGTCTCCTTGTCTGAATTTATAGAACACACACCATTTGTAGCTCCTTTCCCTGTTTGTAAATAGGTGTCACTTCCCCCAGATTTTTGATATGTGAAAACAAAGTCCACAGTTAGGAAGTCACCCTGGCCAGAACGCCTCAGCACTGCAATGGACATGGTGGCAAGAGCAATCTGCGTTTTGGCTGGGACACTGAGCAACGCCTGGGGAATCTGCTGGCTCCACCGCTGCCATGCTGCATATTTTTTATGCCCATCGGTTTCTGGGCAACGCTCAGCCTGAGGCCGCCTGGGATTCCAAGAGATGAGGCTGAGCCATGACTGTGTTTCGACTGAGGAGGGTGAACTTTTTGATATTCACATGAGGTGGCTTTTCCTCTCCATGGCACTGGATGGCTGGCAGCCTCTCCCAGCAGGGCTCACGCTGCTACCCCAGCCAGGCTGCACACTTTGTTCTGTAAACAGGTGAGAGAGGTTGAGCAAACTGCTCGCCTGCATCTGAATCAAGCCTCCCCCTCAGATCCTAGCCCCTGCTGTGCCTGTGACATAATTACCCCTCCATTTCTGATGGAAGCCTCCAAGAAGACCAAGCCCAGAGGAAGCCTGCATGTCTCCCAGAGCAGATCCAGCCCTCTCCTCCTTTCTCTGCCCTCCTCCGTCTCCCCTCTGCCTTTGAAAAGACAGTGCAGCAAGACACACGCCCTTTAAAACTTGCCCTTTGTAAGCCATCACCATCTGTAGTCATTGTGCAGGGAGGACACGGGCACAAGTGGCAATGGCTCTTGGAGCGCAGTCCCAGGAGGCCACAGGCAAAGGACAGGAGAGGCTGCAGCAGGGCCAGTGAGGGCAGACAAAGGGCTGTTAAGCTGTTAAGCTTGCTGTCACGGGAGCTGATCCTGGCAGCTGCTTGGGCCCTCAGACGGCTGTTGGGAAAGTGCTGCACCCTCTAGTCAAGCTGTTCTCCTGCTCCTGCTGCTGGCTTTCAGAAGGCTGCCTGCCTGCCTGTGTGTCTACGGCTGCTTAGCAATGTGAAGACCTCCCGTGCACATGGCTGCATTTCATTTTGTGGCCAATGTGGTATGCGTAGTATCATTATAGGCTGGGGAAAGAAAGAATGACTATCACAAAAGGATATATGATGTGCTTAATGCAAGCTCAGTTAGTGCAGAAAGCCCCACTGTCCCATGATCTGGCCCCACCTCCTGTGCGTGCACACAGCTTTTTGTCCTCATCACTTTTCTAGTGCAAAGTCTGTGGCTCTGACTTGAGTATTCATCAGGGTCCTGTGAGAGACTGGGCAAAACGCCCAGCCCTGTCAGCTACCTTTAGACCATTGGGTGCAGACCTGCGCCACATGAGCTGCAGTGGGCTGTTTGTGTCATTGAAAGCTCTGAAAGGTTTGCTATCATGGCTCCAGACTATGAAGTCACTGGTGGGCCTGGGAATGGTCATTCTGAACATGGTCCTCCAGGGTTGGTGCTGGGGCAGCCTACCATACTTGCACATGTGTTTTATCATATTCTCTGGTCTCTATGAGTAGCCGAAGGTTAAAGAAAGGAAAAGATTGCATCCCAAATGCTATGAACATGAAGTGGGGAGGTGTGTGGATGGGGAGGGGAAGTCACAGGATGTGTGGATTGGTTAACAGGGAACAGAAAAGGGCTCATGATCTGGAAAAAAACATTGGGGAAGACAAAATGAATTACCACTCTGCAACTTTTGCTACCCTTTAGTACTTTGGCTTGGGGAGGGAGAGTGAGTTGGAGATGCCATAAGCCCACTGGTACTGGTGGGTCCCAGAGAGAAGACACCAGGACCCTTCTAGTGTGTTCTGCCCCGGGAGCATGGTGGACCTAGGGGAGAAATGGCAATGTGTCCTTTAACAGCAGGATCGTTTTGGTAGGCAAACAGAGGAGATGAGCAGGGAGGCTGAAAACCACAGGGGAGGGGTATGGGTGACTGAAAAGCAGCTCGTGTGGACCAGAAATCTAGGGCCAGGTGCAGTGATGGACCCTTCCTTTTGTGCCACCTTTCTAAAGAGGCTAAGGTTGGAGCTCAGAATGCTAGATAAATGTATGTTTAGTGTATGTCACAGGTAGTGTATGTTATAGACATAAATATCTGATTGATGGCATTTTTGTTTTTAAACATGATTTGGCCAAGTGCAATTTTGCCAACAACAATTTTTTTCCCCATAGCTATCAGCCTGTTCTTAGTGAGAAATGACTAGAGATTTATTTCATATATAGGACAGCTCTAACAATTTTATGCATCATTAAGGCCAAGATCAAGTCCTTCTTCTCAAAAACCTAGCTGGCAGGCCCATCCATGCTGTTCTTTCCCTTCCCTTCGTGCTGTTTGGAAAGATTGTTGGCTCTGCACATCTCACGCTTTTGACCATGCGTGCCCTCTGATTGATTCATCTGAGTTATTCATGTCTTCCTGGATTGATGGCAACTTGGGGTTTCATTGAGCAAATACTCTGAAAAGGTCAGGAGTGGCCAATGTTCTACTACTTTTAAAAACATTTTTGAAGCTTACCCTAATGTGTACTAAGCACTCATGCATGCTGAAGTTTCTCTAGGTGATCTGCAGACATTGTAGACTTGTCTGTAGATGCTACTATCATCATCCCACTTTTGCAGTTCAACACATAACATGAGTCGAGAAACCACTCAGGAGGACTGTGAGAACTGGGGCAATGAAACAAGAAAATGACATGCATGTGGCAGTGATTAGAGTAAATGTGATGTGCCACCTGCCTAAACATTTTATTTTACTTTATGTTATTTTGGCCAGGCATGATGGTGCACACCTGTAATCCCTGTACCTGGGAGGCTGAGGCAGAAGGATTTTGTGAGTTCAAGGCCAGCCTGGACTACACAGTGAGACACTGTCTCAAAAAAAATTTTTTTTTATTGAATAAATAAGGACTGGAAGTTAATGTCAGAATCTCAGTGTAGTTTGCTTTTTGTTTCTTCTACATGGGTTATTCTGAAGTTAATGGTCTAGAAACCATTTGATGGTTGGATCCTGTCACTCTCAATGAATCATTTTGTTCAAGGGCCTAGCGGGTGGTGTAATAACCAATGAGCAGGTTCAGCTATGCCCTGGTGCTCTGGCAGTGAGATGTTCCTGTCCCTACAGGAGCTGGGGGAGCAGCCCCTCCCCAAGAAGTCTCTTAGGGGACTGCACTCCTAACTGCACAGACACATGCCAATCACACAGGCTTCTCCTGGAAGCTCCCTGGGTCACCATTTGAATTGCCCCTATTTCCCCAGTGGGGAGCCACCATGCAGCTTAGAGGACCACCTAACACATGACACCTTGCACTGGACCGGTGAAATCTGTGTACCCACAGCCTTCTGGAGCAGCCCTGTGCTAGTGCTGAAACTGGGAACAGAAGGAGCAGTTGGGGCTGAGGGAGGAGGGCTGTATAGCATCAAGGGAAGAGGGTGGTGTCTGGTTTCTTTAGGATGTGCTCTTTGGTTTGTTTATAAATCCCATGGGCTGGGCTGGCAGGGACTGGAGGCCCCCAGTTCAGAATAACTACACCTCATCCATTTGGTCATGAGGTGGTGAAGTGGTCCATGTAGAAGCCATGAGCAGCGGAAGGGGAGCTGTGGTTAGGGCATTTAAGGCCCTGTAACTTCACCACGTATCAAGGAGGCACGCAAGGCTGTATTTGGCCTTCAGACACCTGCTGTGGGACAGCCCTCCAGGGAGACTCTCGCTTTATCAGGCTGCCCTTAATTATCACCTCAAAAACACCATCTCTGGCCCTTCATGGCTGGTAGCTCCTGGAAATGGACATTTTCCAGCCAAGAACACAGAACACTGGTTCTTCAGAGTCCTGCCCAAGACTGCAGAACAGTTTCTCAGCTTCTTTTAGGCTGCAAGCTGAGATGACTGGAAGTCAGGAGGAGAAAATCTGAGGGGCTGTGTTCATTGCTCAGCCCTTAGCCCTCTCCAGCTCATGCTGTGTTCCTTAGATGAGGCCACTGGGAAGCTTCCCGTGCCTCGTTAGAGTTACTGGAGTGGTTAGGATGCTCTCAGCTCCATGGAGAAGAGTCTGCTAGATCATCAGTAAATGGAAAATGGAAGGTTTGTTAAAAAGGCACAGATTAGGATTTTGTGGCTCAGGGAAGAGAAGCACTGGATCTCAGGAGTGGATGGAAAGCAGAAGCCGGTGCTCACTTCCCTCTCTCTTCGAGCCATGGCATTCATGTCTTTTTATTTTCAGACAAACCTGATTAATCTGCCGTTAGGCCACTAGTAGGTACTGTGGTGAGTCCACAGCACAGAACCTGAATTCTCATCTCTTCTTTTCAAGGCA